CACGACACATTATCTCATCGAATATCGTTTCGTGTTTGTATCTGACACTTTTGAAATAAAGAAATGTTTTCGTGTTCGGACCTGACACATTTAAAATAATAAAATGTTTTTTGTCCAGACACAAAACATTTTCTCATTGAATAACGTTTCGTGTTTGGATACGAGACATAATTTAAAAATGGCGGATCCAATATGGCGTAACAAGTAAATTTGTTCATGAGAATATTTTACAATGAGAAAGTGGGTCCTATCCGGACACGAAAACTCTTGATTATTTTAAAAGTGTCGGGTGTGGACACGAAAACATATAATTATTTTAAAAGTGTCGTGTCTACTTAAAGTGATAGTTATAATTGTAAAGGATTTTTTAATTCTATGACATAAATGTTCTTAAAGCCTATTGAACCACTTTAAGTAGTAAAAGCTACTACTGAAAGTAGTATTTTTAATTGGAAACGATTTGTAAATTTTACATCAAAAACGTTTTTCAAGTTTATTGAATTAATTAAAATAGTAAAAAATTACTACTTAAAGTAGTAGTTTTAATCACAAAGGATTTGTTAATTCTACAACAAAAATGTTCTTAAAACCTATTGTACCACTTTGAGTAGTAAAATCTACAACTTAATGTAGTAGTTTTAACTGGAAACGATTTGTAAATTCTACATCAAAAATCTTCTTCAAGTTTATCGAATTAATTAAAATAGTAAAAATCTACTACTTAAAGTAGTAGTTTTAATTACAGACGACTTGTTAATTCTACAACAAGAATCTTATTAAAGCCTATAAAATCATAGAAATTAATAAAAAATTTACTACTCAAAAAGCAGTTATATAAATTATAAATAATTCCTTTTACTACATTTCATATAACTGGTGAACAGTAGTTGGATTTACTACTCTTCAAATTTTGAGTTGACTACAATTCCACTTGTTTTTACTACCTTAAGAAAGTTCATTTTACTACCGACCTGTAGTTGTACTTTAACTACACACGGAAAAAAAAAAAAAGTAATTTTTACTACTTTCATAGTAAAATTGGACCTGTCCGAAGTTTCTGCGCATCTCTGGCAACTTTTACTCAAAAAATAGTAAAATTTACTATTTTTGTAATAATTTTTACTATTTCTGGAGTAAATTTTACTATTTCTGGAGCAAATTTTACTATTTTTGGAGTAAAAGTTGCCATAGATGCGCAGAAACTTCGGACAGATCCCATTTTACTATGAAAGTAGTAAAAATTACTTTTTCTTTTTTTCCGTGCACTGTAAAAAGAAAGGTATTAATTTAATACCGACTTTAGATACGAAATTGTCATTTGGTTCTATTTTAATACCTAAAATCGGTACTGTTTTAGTACTTTTCGGTACTATTTTAGTACTTTCTTTTTACAGTGTACATATTTACGTAAAGTCAACTATTACTTATTAACTTCTTAAAAATAGTTACATTAACTACATGAACATGATTAGATTAACTAAAAAAGTAGTTAAATAACTACTTTCTAGTCAACTATCAAATGGTAGTTGAATTTCTCGGCAAAATTTTGTTCAGTGTTGATATTACAATGTTATATTATACCAATATTACGTGTAATATTACTGTGATATCAAATTAATATTACTTGCTACTTGGGCTATCAAAATTATTGTTGCAAAGTATTATACAATTTAAAAAAAAAAAAAAATCGGTAACAAACTTTAGTCGAAAACAAAGTAACTTTATTTTGTTTTTACAAAAATATTGAATCACAATGCGAATGAAATTTAATTCTAAAATAATGTTTGCCACATGTCGATATTAATAAAATCAATGATTCGAAATGTGAAGAAAAAAAATTTATATGATAAAGGTTAAAAGTTTATGCTCAACGTGTAAGGTATAAGAATGAAAAATAATAATCGGAGTCTGCGGGAGTAGAGCACAAGGTTTTTCATAATTATCGAATATTGTGTATATATATATATATATACTCGCGAGATTTAAAGGAAGTTATACGATGGTGGTGGTTTAGTGTTGGATTTGTGTAGTTCATATCGAAAGAAGAAATAAGGCGGGGATGTAAGAAGAAAGGCAGTGCTATAAAAGACGATCGGACCACGTTGTGGGGCATCAAAACACTTTATCATGAAGGTACGTAAACATTGTGCACGGTTCTTATTTGTTTTGTTTTTTATTAAAAAAAAAGAAGTGAATTTAATGTCTATGTTAAAATATTTTTGTACATATTTATTTTTTTATGTACTGTAATATTATTTATTATAGTTATACATGATATAAAAATAAAGTTCAACGTTCATGTATATATATATATATTTATATATATAAATATGAGTTTAATATTATCATGGATTTTCGGAAATATATGGTTTATCAGTGAATTTCTCGTTTTAGGTGTTCGTGTTCGCGATTTTAGTGGCGATTGCCGCATCTACGTATGGTAATTATTACTCTATTGTCATTTTATATCTATGATATAAACTATTTCGTGTTTAATATCTATATATATATAATATTCTCAAAATATGCAATACAATAAAAATTGATAAACAATTATTTTTAAATATATTTTTTTTATTGATTATTATTCTCTTTAATTACATGTTTATTATCTCTTCAAATTTTCATTTTTTAAAAGTAATTTTTATATATTTTTCATATTTACAAATGGGAAAAAAATAATCTCAATTTAAGATGAAAATGTCTTTTGAAATAAGAATTTTTTTAATAAATGATTTTATTTATTTATTAAAGAAAGTTTTAAAGTATTTTAACTTTTTTTTTACTTCTGATTAAAAGAATTTAAGAAAATAAACAATTTTTAAGGTTATGTTCACATTTTTCTGCATTTAATAAAAAATCAATGCATTTTATTTTAAATATGCTCTTTAGTCGGTATCAAAACTAAAATAAAATAAGTAAAATTTTGTAAAAAAAAGTGCTCGATTGTACAAAACATAAATATTGTTATTTTTACATTTAATGTTTTTTTTTACTTTTTTTATTTGAATTATTTTTTAATTTTTCTTTAATTTGTTCTATTTATATATTGGAAAAAATTTTTTGTTATTTTGAACATTAGAAATTTTTATTTTATTTTCTACATCATTTGTTTTTAATGCGTTAGTTATTATATAAAAATAAAATTTTGTTTAACCCCTTTACTGATATAGAGAAAAAATTAAAACTTAGTGTTTTGAGGGTTTTTGGAGTCTCTGAATAAAAAAAAATTTATTTCGTGATTTTTACTTGTTTTTAATTGTTTATTAGTTAAAAACAATAAATAATTATTTAATTATTAATTAATTAAACATCATTGATACCTGTAGTGTGCGAATAATGATATAAAAGAATTTATTTTACAACTAAAATTTTCATTTTTTTTGTGTTAAGATGATCACGACACAACGTACGTGTCGCTGACAATGAAGGGGTTAAACTTAAAAAATGTTTATATTACAAAATAACAATTTTTAAAAAAATTTTTGTAGAAAATAACAAATTAAAAACAAAGTTTTTTTTAAAAAGTAGGAGTAAGAAAAAATTTTCTATGTTCAAAATTATAAATAAATAATTTTTTTTAATACAATAAAGCAATTAAATAATAATAATAACAATAAATAATTAAAATTAAAAATAAAATGTTAAAACACGGAATGTAAAAATTACAATATTTACCGTAAAATGGGGTAAAGTGGGCTATTTTTTCACTAAAATTATCCACTGATTATGAATGAAACAAATGTCAAAGTAATATTTTTTGACGTCCATACAAACCAAAGTAATCATAATTAAAGGATTTTTTTTCTTAGAAAAGATAAAAAGAAATTTTTAAAATTAATTTGTAACAATCGTCGACTTTTACCTTAACGCCGACTTTACCTCATTTTACGGTATGGTTTAGTCAGTCTAATATTTTTTTTGGAAAAATTTTGAGTTCTTTGGAAAATTACTATATTATGTATAATCCATTTATGATTTTCAATAATTAATAATTTTTAATAAATGCATGTTTCATTTTTTTTTTTGAACAACAAATAAATAATGTTTTATTATAAATAATGTTAAATAAATAATAAATAATAATGTTAACTATTTTTAAAGTGAAAGGAAAAATTTTGTTAAGCAATGAATAAAAAGTGTGATAAGTGAGAAATTTAAAATTAATTCACTATGATGTTTACTGTAGTAATAAACATGTTTTGAAAAAATACAATACTTTCTTATTTTTGTTGAAAATTTAAAAAAATTATTTACATAATTCGTAATTAAAGTAGAAAGAAATTTTTATAAACTATTTTGCTTTTAAAAATATTGTTTATCAAAGTTATGATTTTTCAAAAAATTCAATGTTCCAATTTTTTCTATTGGTATACACTTTAGGCATTTCACTTCATGTATAAAATTAAAAAAAATTTTCTTAATATACGTGAGTTTTCTTTTCTTTATATGTAAACAATTGAAAAATTAATATGTAAAACTAATATAAAAAATATATATATATATATAAAATAATAATAATTTAAAAATAATTGCTTCCTTGTGTAATAGTTTCTACTATATATTGTAATGAGATTTTTAATTTTCACAATTGTAAAATTGTATTTTAAATTTAAAAAATAGAAAAACCACAAATTCTTTCCATAATGGGTCACAAAACTTTCAGTAAATTCAATAATTCATTAGACAATTATATGGAGTTAAATGACAGACAGGTGTGAAGTGCGTTAAGTAACTATATAGCGACATATTTGTGCAGAAAAAAAATATATGCCTATAAAAGAAGATATATATATATATTTATTTCTCGTTTTTCTTGCAGGTGGTTACATAAGTAGTGGATGGTCGGGTGGTGGCGGTGGTGGTGGTAGTGGATGGAAATCAGGATGGAGTGGAGGTGGGGGTGGAGGTGGATGGAACAAAGGTGGAGGCGGCTGGAGTGGAGGTGGGGGTGGATGGAACAATGGGGGTGGAAAAATTATTAAAGTTATCACAGTGAGTGGAGGGGGAGGCGGTGGATGGCCAAGTGGAGGTGGTGGCGGTTGGAAATCAGGTGGGGGTGGATGGTCCGGAGGCGGTGGAGGAGGAGGAGGTGGATGGCCTAGTGCCTGGAAATTAGGAGGTGGAGGCGGTGGTGGTGGATGGTCTGGCGGAGGCGGTGGTTGGTCCAGCGGAGGTGGAGGTGGTGGATGGAAATCCGGAGGTGGATGGTCCGGAGGCGGTGGCAGTGGTTAGTAATATTTTTTTTAATCTAATAATTAATTCTTTTATTTATAAACAACTTATAGTTTTATTAATAATTTTATAATTTATATATTTAATTTTCGCATTAAATTATTATTAAATTATTTTCTAAATAATTATATTTTTTATATTGTATAATTTTTTTAAATTGTTAGATACATTTTTTTTATATTTTTATCTATATTACATTAAAATATTTATAATAAATAATTTAAGTTTTGCCATTTTAAAAATATTATTGGTTTCGTAAAACCAATTAAAGTAAAACAGATTATAGGCTATAAATTGTTATAATTAGTTATATTATTATTATTATTATTATTATTATTATTATTATTATTATTATTATTATTATTATTATTATTATTATTATTATTATTATTGTCATTATTATTATTATTAATATTAAAAAAAAATTATAATTCTTATGTATCACTGTATGAAGAGTAATATATATATTTTTTAATTAAGTTTACATTTTGCATGTGGGTTCAATTCCTGCGAAAACGCAGGGCGAGATATTTATTGAAAACGTTGTCATTTTTCCGGATAGAGCGTAATGAACGTGCAGCCGGGAAATTGGTTTACGATCGTGTCAAGTCATTGCAATTAATTTTGCACCGCTTCGATGAAAAAAAAAAAAAAAAAAATGAAAATTTTCTCTAATCCTGTTAAATCCGACATTTGGTATCCGTAATCCAATTACAAAACTGTAACTTTAGATAATCCGCTCTTTAGGAAGAGCATATTTTTATTTTCAACTTTTCAAATTTATACATTATAAATTCAATTAAATATTATATCTAAAATTGTAAATTTATTATTTTTGCTTTTAAACGATTGTCTTTTAACATTTATAATTAAACTTAAAAATACTTTTTTAATAATAATTATTTTTTTCTATAAAAATTTTTGGAAATATAATTTATCTTATGCAAAATAATTTTATATATTATTGATTATAATAATGACAATAATTTATAATAATTATTATAATTTACAATTTTTTGTTATTTCTTACTATTTTATATTAATATCAATATATTAATTATAGTATTATTTTTTTTCAGGATGGTGGTAAAAAAAACAAATTCCCTTCGTTTTAGAAAGAAAAATTTTTCCACTTTCCTGAATAAATCAAAATGAGAAAAAAAAATGTACGTTCTCCGTTTTGTAAGAAGAAAAAAAAAATGAAGAAAATTGAAGGCACACTACCATTTCATTTTGTTTGTACTAAAATGGCACAAAACGACTGCGAGGCAAAAATCAAAAGAAAAGAAAAAGAGATGTAGTTATGTGCAGCTGCGTCATTGTATTATATTTCACCTAATAAAAACTTTTGCATAGAGGCACAACACCATTAAACGACTATATTTCTATTTTTCCATTCTTGTGATTCTTACTCTCTTTTATATACCTCTTGTTTAGTTCTCTTTACACACTCATTTCTGTGACTTGAAGCCAATTTCTCTTTCTTTTCTCAAGACTTAGTACTGAAATTTTCAAAGAAAACCTATACTCCCCTCACTCTTCTCTCTCTCTCTTTTTATCCATCCCTTGAAAAGTTTCAACGATTCCAAGTTTTGCCTCAAGAAACGACAACGACTTCCGAACGACTTTCGATCCACAAGCAGGAAGTGATTCCGAAACTTTTCCGGGATCTTAAAGTATTTCGCGGATGTAACTTTCGTTAAAGCGAGGAATTTTAATCGTTTATTTTTTTTAACGAATTTTCCTGTGATTAATCGTTTAAGACAAATGGACATAATTGTTTTTCAAAAAAAAAAATAATAATAATTTTTTCGATAAATTCACTTCTAATTGGATTTCAATTGATTCCAGATATTTTTTAAAAATAATTTCTTAAATTGAAAAAATTTGAAAAAAATCATTACACCTAAGTGAGAAATTGGAACGCATGATTAAAATATCCCATATAAAAATCATTAATTAAATTTTCATTTTGAAGAATTTTATTGGATATCATTATTTTTTAGACGAATTTTTACTTAACAGAATTCTTATGTATTCGAATTTTTATTGTACATAATTAGGGGAGACCGAGGAGGAAAGTAACAAAGCTTATAACTTTTAAACAAATTATCGGATAGACATGGTTCAAACATATTTTTAGTCGGCACTGTTCCCCCTTCCTCCTCCATAGTGTGTCCGAGCCTGACAGGAAAGGTTAGGTCTGATTCCGGTGTGACGTGCAGAAAAAACGTCAAAAGGAAGTTTTCGTTCAAATTTTCAAATTCTCGTATTTCTTTAATTTTATTGTTTTTCAAAATGTGCCTTTCGTTATTTTTTAGCCTTATTATCTGTCTTTAAGTTGTGCTTAAACAAACAATTTAACAGTTGTGTAGTTTTAACTTTTTTGTTGACATACAAGAAAAAATCGACCGAGGAGGAAAGTAACACGCTACTTTTCTCCTGTTGTCGATATTGTCCATGTTTTAACTAATGATTGAAGCAAATCGTATTTAATTTTACGAATAACAGAGATTTATTTAAGAAAAACCTGTGATCTAGGTAAGCATAAAATATCTTTAAGAAAAAAAATGAGCTAAATTCATAAAATGTTCGAAATATGTGCTAAATATGTCCCAAATATGTGCCATATAAGTATAAAGTGTACTTAAACTTTTATGTGTTCCTAATAAAAATATTTCTAATTAATAATAGTCATTAGTCTAAAGAATTTTACATAATTTTATACTGTTACTTTCCTCCTAGGAGCTTGTTACTTTCCTCCTCGGGGGTGAGGAGGAAAGTAACAGATGAAGAGCTTGCGTAAAAATTATACTGTGAACTGTCAATTTATTATAAATGTTTAATTCAAATTTTATTTAAAAGGTGAATGTCCAAGCTTTCATTTAATATATTGGACAAATTTATCCGACAAATATTTTTAATGCTAGCATAAAAAAACTGATTTTTGTTACTTTCCTCCTCGGTCTCCCCTACTAAAAGGACAAATTTTTATTTGTCCGAAATTGCGAGTGGCCGAACAAATAATCGACACATAGATTTCGGCGCGATGTTTAAAAATTTATCAATCAAAAGTTATCAAGAAAATCGTGATTGGTGGATTTTAAAAATCGCGCCAAAATCTTTTTATCAATTGTTTGTTCGGCCATTTGCAATTTCGGACAAATAAAATTTCGGCGTTTTATGAATTCTACCAAATAAAAAATTGGTGCCTAAAATTTCTTTAAAAAATAATTATATCTAATAAAATTGTTAAAAATAAAAATTCTAACTAATGATTTTTATGGGATAATCATGCGCCACAATAAAAAAACATTGATAATTTATAATTTATAACAATATAATATTATATGTGGGGCATTCTTTGTCAAAAAGACAGCCTCTCTGCCCCCAATGGATTTAATAAAAAAAAACTTCTATATCGGCTTAAATTACAGAAAATTTTGTCTATTTTTTGATGCCGTATGGCACTTTTTCAATATTAAACATAGGGATATAAAAAATTATTGGCATAGTAATCTACATTATCGACTGATGGTAAAAGCAGGAAAATGATGATATAAAAAATTACCGACATAGAAATCTACATTACCGACTGATGGTAAAACAGGAAAATGAAAATATAAAAAAATTAACGACACAGTAATCTACATTAACGACTGGTAGTGAAACAGGAAAATGATAATATAAAAAATTACCGACAGTAGGTAATGTAGATTTCTGTGTCGGTAATTTTTTGTATTTTCATGTTTTACCATTAGTCGGTAATGTAGATTTCTATGTCGGTAATTTTTCTAGTTTTTTTTGCAATTCTTAATTATATTCTTATAACTAAAAAATCGTTAATAATTTATTTTATTTAAAATTTATAATTTAAAATAAAAAAAAATTATTTTTACAAAGTAGAATAAATTTGTGGGAAGTTTGCGTTTAGAAATTGAAAAATATTTCGATTTTTGACAAAATTATGATATTATTACCTCTGTTACTTGGGTTAATAATAAAAACAAATTTTATTTTACAATGAACTATATATATATGTATATAAATAAAAGAATAAGTGCTGAGAGTAATTTTAATGTTTTAACTGCGAGAGTTTGAAAGCTGAATCGAATTTGTTTCCAGAGGCCAGCCAATTTGTACTGAGCAACTTGAATGAATGTTCAGAATAGTTTAAGAGCCGCCGATACTAATTGGGCTCTTTAGAATCACGCTTTTGCATTAATGACCGGCTCCTCGAGAGATTCATGTCTGTCGATAAGAGAGAACCCACACACAATCACAACCATGGATAAGAACAGAAAAGACATTATATAAATTCGTCGAACAAACTTTTGTTCATTTTCAAAACCAAGCGCGAAGACAAGAAACAAGAAAAAGAAAATTATAAATAAAAATTAATTCACAGTGCCTTGAACTCATTCGTTTTCTTAAAAAAAAAAAAAAAAATGAAAAAAAGAAATCTTCACTTCTTCAGTACAGAAACAACTAACAAATTCAATTTACGCTTCAAGTGAAAGGTCTACTACTGAGCATAATTCGTACTTAATGGGTGCAATGTCTTTCGAAAGTTACATCTTGAATTAACAATAAAGCGACAAGTAATAATAATAATAATAATAATAACAATATTAATAATTCAATATACGAAGACAGGATGAAATTACTAATAAAATTATGACAATAAAAAAAGGCGAAACAATATTAATAATAATAAAAAAGAGCAAACATTTAAATATGAATATAAATTTGTGTTTTTAAATTTTATACAACTGTCACGTCACCGTAACATTTTTTTATCTTTATTTATGTAAAATTAATTTTTTTTAAATACATTTGTAAATAAATAATTGTTTTTAAATAAACAGATATTTGTAAATAAATATTTGTAAATAAACAATTATTTATGGATAAACAATTATTTATAAATAAAACGAATATTTGAGAGTAAATTAATTGTTTTTAAAATGGTAATGTTAATAATCATAATTAATGT